TTTCGATTATGTATTTTCTGGTTATTGTATAAAATTCCTAAACGGTACCAACGAAATACAGAATTAAAATTTATTATAACCCCGGGTTATCAATGAATTTGACAAAATATACCTGATTTATTGTTCAGACAGACTAAATCTATTTCTGGACAATTATTTAAAAAAAATATCACGAGGACTAAAGCAGCGTAGCGGAGCTCCTGCCTTAGCCTTCTGACCTAACCCATCCGAGTCAGGCTGGTCCGAGCTGAAATGTGTATAATACTATATTCCACACATCCAGTTCATTTTAAGAATTATCTACAATTCCTAGGAATTCTATATAATAACGGATTTCATAGATAATAGGAATGATAATATATTATTATTTTGAGTTGTTATCAGGAAGATGCCGCTGCCCATCTCCTGTTTCATTTTCCCTCTGACACCTCTTACAATACCCTCGGAATGATATGGGGTAGTGGATATTCTCACACCGCCACTACATGGTTTGTTAAAAACCTTAAAAAAATAAATAAAAACACTTTCCATATTAATATTATTTATTGAAATTTTTCACACCATGTGGATTACTCTGTGGCTTTTTGAAGTCCTTACAGATATGAGCAAAGCGCCCTTGAATAATATTTTCAATTTCTAACTGACCGTATACTTTTTAATAGTGTCCATTAAAGAAGACCTATCCTGAATTTTTTAATTTGGCGCGCCACTTTTTGCTTAAGAATCTTAGTTTTCGTCTCAAGTATTTCTTCTTTAGTACACTTTATTTTCACTTGCACGCCCCTATCAATCCTCGCGTGATCGTCGTATTCACTGCTGACCTAAGAAAACAAGAAAACTTTATGAAATCAGTATTTTTAGCATCGTACATCGTATTGCTCCGCTTATAAGGGTCGTAGCCTGATGTTAGATAGACTTCCTGAAAAATTGGTTTTATAAATGCAAAAAAATATTTTCAAATCAGACTGGTATAGTTCCAGAGATTAGAGAACTCTAACAAAAAAAAGAAACAAGTAACTCTTCTACATCATAATGTCAGTACAAATTTACATCACTTATTAGGTAACACATAATACACCGGAGCGCGCCTTCATGAGCACACATAAATGAAGCATCAAAGAAGCTTTATGCTTAGTGTCGTAGTGACGGTTACCACACTGCGATTGGCACTAAAGAGTTTAAATATGTAATATTAAAGTCATAATAAATACAAATAAAAGGTATGTATTTAGTAATAAAGGAAAAGGAAACTTACAGGTAATTTGTTAAGATTGCATAAATTTTCAAGAATTTTTCGACATTGTTTTTTACTAGTTTGGTCTTCAATATTACAGCCAGTACATTTCACTTCTGTTTCCTTAAGTGCAGAACTACTTTCATAAATGCCAGAACTATGCTTGGTACAGCCAGAGCAGCTATTTGCACAATAGACTATTCATGTAATGCACTTGTTGTCTGCAAATAATAACATATTTTACAAAATGTTGCTTTATATCATACATCTAAACTACTACATTTCTAAATACATAATTATTATAAACGTTATTAAAGTATCAGAATAATGAGAAACAAAAACTAAATAATAAATAATAAATAAATTGTCTAACAAAAGAATATATTGTTACTAATTTTTAATTTAATATTATGAAATCTATGAAATCCGTCATTATATAGAATATATAGGAAGTGTACATAATTCCTAAATTTCATGCATTTCCGGTAACATAATAAGAAACATGTACATATAATTAGTTAAGATCACACGGAAAGTCTCAGATACATCGTCAATATGGTCACACTACTTCAGTGCGATTTCTTTTAAACAAAAACAATAAAATTGTTCAAACCTAATTAAATTCAATGTAAAACTATTTGATTTTGACAAAGTTATAATTTACTAATATGTTTAAAACACTGATAAAACGTTTCAGCAAAAAATTTAGTGAAAATACAAAAAGTATGTTTACAAGTATTCAATGTCAGAAGTCACTATTTAAACACTTACGTGTGAAATCTTATATCACCTCCTGGACACCAACTACTGCCGCAACCACGTACTATACAAGTTTGCACCATTTCTTGAATTATAACAATAATTAACTTTAAATATCTCAAACGACGCTGTGAACTGCTAAGTAAACAACCGCCATATTTGTCTAATTTATGTTGACATATAGGGCTAATGTTGCCACATTACCGAACCTTTAGGAAATGGGATTGTAATTAACTGATTCGTGAACCCAATAATGCATACGAGACCTTCAATTTTGGAATTTTTAATGTAACTAATCGTAGATCAACTATTTATTTATTGGTACATTATTTTACAAAGCTTAACTTCTGATTTAGTTAGTGTGGAAATTATTTCTGAGAATTTACCGGGAGATTCAAATAAAAACATAGCAATATTGTGTTCCACACTAAAAAGAGAAGTCAGCCCACAGAGAGTGGGATAAAGATACGTAGGTATTTGACTCAAGCTGTTGTTCCAAGTGTGGCCTCCATCTTTATCTATAACTTCATGATCATATCGTAGATGGAGCATAGACTTAGATGGAGGCTTGTTGTCACAGATTAAATAATATTAGTAGATTAAGTAAGTATTGTTCTTAGGAACAGACACAAGTTAGTAGTATCATTTACTCGATTCCACGCAGTCGTAATTTATTCTTGGGGCAATGTATACGCTTTTACAACGAAATCACAGATAATATACAAAAATTATTCACCATACTACACTCAGCGTCACAAAAATCGCACCTCTCTGAGTTTGCGCGAAAAATGACTGTAATGGCTAGAAACGAATTATATTTATATAAATATTGGTATGTTTGAAATGGGTATTTGAATAGCTTTACATTATTAATAAAAAAATCATGAAATCATTAAAACATTTATCATTATAGAGCGTCAAAAATAAACACTGTCAAATGCTCGTTAGTAAGGACGCTAGTTACACCACCTAAAAAGGGTATAAAAGGGTCGATCTGGATGAAATATGGGTCAGTCGTAATTTAGACTTTGCAGTGAACACACGTGAACAAGTAACCTAAGTAAGAACAAGTCAAGATGGACACCAGCTCTGAAGAAGCCGCTCAAGTGATTGCCCTATTGCAGTCGGGGATGCGGCAGTGTGACGTTGCTCGACAGTTGAACCTGTCCCGTTTTTCAGTTCGACGGGTGTTCCAACGTTTTCAGCAAACTGGTGGTTATGTTAGAAAACCGGGATCTGGAAGAAAACGGTGCACATCAGAAAGAGATGACCGTTTCATCGTTACGACATCTTTACGAAACCGTTTTACAAATGCTGTTGAGTTGCAACAACAGCTTCGATCAACTCGGAGAACATCTGTGAGTGTTTCTACGATAAGAAGAAGGTTACACGAAAAGAGTTTAACAGCCCATAGACCTGCTAAAGGTCCAAAACTTACTGCACAGCATCGCAGAGATCGCCTAGAGTTTGCTCGCAATCATTGCGATTGGACTCTAGAACAGTGGCGGACCGTACTCTTCTCTAATGAGACGAGGGTCTGTCTCTTCTGCAATGACAGACGTAGAAGGGTCTACAGAAGACAGGGGGAGAGGTTCACACAACCCTGCTTCGAAGAATACGTCGAATACGGGGGTGGCTCGTGTGTGTTTTGGGGCGGCATTTCCGTCGATGGGAAAACGGAACTTGTGTGCGTTTCCCGGACTCGGGGTGGCCGTGGGCAAGGGTCATTAAATGCTGTTCGGTACATTACTGAAATCCTGGAGGAACATGTGGTCCCGTATGCTGGTTATGTCGGTGATGGATTCATGTTAATGAATGATAATGCTCGTTGCCACATCGCGGCTATTGTGCGGGATTACTTACAGGAGGTCGATATCCCTGTTATGCATTGGCCAGCACGAAGTCTAGACCTTAACCCAATAGAACATCTTTGGGATGACTTAAAACGGCGCGTGCGAGCTCGAGATCCAGCTCCAACCACTCTTCAAGAGCTCCAAGATGCGGTACTTGAAGAGTGGGAACAAATACCCCAAGAGGCTGTTGCGACCCTTGTAAGGTCCATGAAATATCGCATGGAAGCCGTTATCAAGGCAAGGGGGGGTAACACTAGGTTTTAAGAACTTTTTTGTATTTATTAAGTTTTTTTTAAATTATTAATTTGCAAATTTGTACATACCCTGCCTTTTTCTTTAATTTCTCTTTCGTCTCGTTATAAAAGTAAAATTCAATTAAAATTCCTGAAAGCTAATGAAATTACCTTTTGAATGTTGCCCTCAAACCACAACATTGCCATTGGCCTGTTGTGTTAAAATAGTATTTAAATTATTTATTTCGGATGTGCGATTTTTTTGACGCCGAGTGTATATGTACACAATAAATTAATATTGTATAGAAGAGGTTATTATATTATTAAAGAAGTTTTGGATTATATTATAATAGCACCTGAGAATGAGGCGAGGTTATCGCTACTAAACTATTTTTAATAAGATTACAAACTGATTTGTTTTGTCAAAGAAATATCCCGCTGGGTTTCTTGCTGGTTCTTCCCAGAACAGAGGTATTTTCCGAACCAGTGATATATTAAACATATGAATGACTTTCAATAAGTTTTATTTATAATCTATATTAGATGAAAAATAGATTTCTATTTCTATTCATTATATTGACTATATGTTTGTTTAGGCTACCTTTAAAACCTTAACCTTTAATATACTGTGAAGAAACTTGTTAATATACATATTTGTATTTTTTTAAATGTACATACCTATATAAACTGTAGTGTATGAGTTTTAAATTCAACTTTGAATAAGTATAATTTTTGGCAGAAAGCCTTGTAGCCAATGCAATCATAAGAAAACAGCCGTCATTCTCGGTCTACGCCTTCGAGCATAGAAAATTTCTTTGTCTACGAAAATATATAGGTAACTATTTTCTATGCTCGAAGGTCTACGCGTCAAAAATCGACATTTACAAATGCAGTGTTGACACACCTAATTATTTCGTTTTTGATTTGACCTAATAATATTTTAGCTATATAGGTGCTTAAATAAATGTCCACGAATCTGAAAGAAATTGATACAACTATAATTTATTGGAAATGTATACAAGAGGATGGGCTAGATCTTGAATATGCAAAAGTAATACCTAGACCAATCGCCAACAGTTTATACAATGAACTTGAAGGTACTTTGGAATATTTCACTGGAGATTTATCGAAAATTAAGTAAGTAAAATAAAGTTAAAATTTTTTTTGAAATAACAGGTATTATCATTAAATGCTTATCATCAATATATATCCATATATATCATTGATGTTAAGGATTATGGGGATAATTAAAGATATAATACTTTGAACATAAAACGTGCTTTTTATTAACCTCAAAACAACAACATGGAGAGCCTATAACATCATATTTTGAACCTTCCTTCATAACAGACACAATGTTGACAACCGACGCAGTGTTGCCATTAAAATACAATATTATATAAATCATTGTTAATTAACACCTTCCCCCCAATGATTTATATTAACAGAACTAACAAACTAAAAATACACAATGCGAACTAAACTCTATTCCAATCCTAATTTATGTACAAAATAATTGAGAGGTTTTATTTAATGGTTTCGTAAAAATATCAGCTATTTGTTGCTTTGTAGGTATATACATAACACAAATTTCCTTACATTCTATTTTATGTTTCATAAAGTTGTATTTTATGTCCACATGTTTCATTCTTTTTGATCAGGATTACATACAGAAAATATTGTACTTTTATTGTCTTCATATATGGTAGTGATATTACAACTAACGTCTAACTCATTTAATAATTTCCTAATCCAACAAGCCTCCACAGCGGCTTCATTGAGGGAGTATAACTCTACCTCAGTAGTGCTTAAAGCTACAGTGCTCTGCTTTTTGCAACGCCAAATAACAGATATCAAATACTTTAAATACATAACCAGTTATAGATTTCCTATCTTTATCTACAGCAAAACTAGCATCAGCATATCCAACTAGTGGTTCGGAATTACAATTCTTATTATATTTTAAATTATAAAAAAATGGTACTCTTAATGTATCTTAAAATCCTTTTCAAGCATTGCCATAACCTTTCTGATGGTCTAGATTGATATCTTGCTAAATATGAAACAGCAGCACACAAATCAGGTCTTGAACCTACTACAGCATATATTAAAGAACCTATACAAGCTCTGCTTTATGCTCTAAAGAGTAATCAACCGTACAATCATCAAGATTAACATTAACTTCCATGGGTGATTCACTAGCATTTGCTTCAGACATACCAAACTTTGTCAATATAGATTTTAAATACTCTTTCTGGTTAATATACAAACATTCACTATCTTGAATAATATTAATACCCAGATACTTTAAATTTTTAGATCCTAGATCTTTCATTTTAAATTCTGTGCTTAAATTTTTTTTAACATTATTTATCCTTGAATTGTCCTCACCTAAAATTAATAAATCATCCACATACAACAAAATGTAAATACCATCCTTAAAATATAAACAATAATCACTTTCTGCTCTTTGAAACCCTTTACTTTTCATAAAATCATAAAATTTATTGTACCAATTTTTTGAAGATTTTTTAAGACCGTAAAGTGATTTTTTCAATTTCAAGACATAATTTGTATTTATATTTACACCAGGTACTTTAAGTATACAACATCATCAATTTCACCATGAAGGAAAGCACCTTTAACATCCATTTGATGAATGAAATAGTTCCTTTGAACAGCTAATGATAAAAGAACTCGGAGAGTTTGTAATTTCAAAACGGGAGAATAAATTTCGGTAAAACTACCTTCCTGTTGAAACCCCCTTGCAACTAATCTAGCTTTATATACATTACCCGCCTTTTTTGTAAAAATCCATCTACAATCAATTAACTTAGCATCGTTTGATCTTTGTACAACTTCCCAAGTCTTGTTATCCTCTAAAGATTTAATTTCTTCATTTACCGCTTCATACCACCTATCTTTATCGTCATAAGAATCTATATCATTATACTTTTCTGGGACATTACCATTAGACCAAGATAAAAATGATGCCATTAATATATCACCTAAATCTGAATCATCAGTGACAAAATCTTGTAAATATTTTGGTTTAGTTTTCTTTCTTTTCTCCCTAGAATTAACATTATTTGTATCCCTTCCCTCAGGTTGTAATGACTCTAAATTATTATCAGAAATTAAAGGGGTTTTGGTTTTCTCAGGACTACTACCATTATCCTTCACCTTCCCATCCGAGATAGACTCCACGTCAATACTAATCGTTTCAGGGGACTCTGAACATGTTTCTTCCCTAAACAATACGTTTCGTTCTATGCGTATCTTCCTTTCATTAGCATCCCATAATCTGTATCCCCCCGGAGCATACCCAACCATTTTCAATTTCACACCATGAGTGTCCAACTTCATTCGGAGTTTTTGGGGAATATGGGCATATGCAGATGACCCAAATATTCTAAAATTAGACACATTAGGACGTCTTCGCTCCCACATTTCGAATGGTGTAACATTAAGGGAAGCAGTGGGACTACGATTAGTGACATATACCCCATATCGCAGGGCCTCGCCCCAAAGCTCTTTAGGAAGCTGTGAATCTAACAATAATGCACGCGCCTTTTCAGTCAGAGTACGATTCATTCTTTCAGCTACTCCGTTCATTTCGGGATTACATGCAGCAGTATACTGCAATATTATGCCTTTTTCATCACAAAAGGATTTAAAATTTCTAGAAATATACTCACCACCATTATCTGATTTTAACTTCAATATACCATGACCAAAATGATTACTAGCATAATTATAATAAGTCTTAAAATATTCAAAAACCTCAGACGTCTCTTAATAAGTAAACTGCGGTGAAGTGGGTAAAATCGTCTATGAAAGTAACAAAGTGTTTATACCCGTCCCACGTAGAAGGGCTAACAGAACAAACATCGGTATGTACTAATTCTAAGGGTTTCCTAGCCTTATACATTTTCCCATCAAAAGGAAGGCGTGTAATCTTAGCAAGTATACATGGTTTACAATGCCTATTTTCTAATTTTTTTTCTTTCAAATCAGTTAAACCATCAACCATATTTTTATTTACTAAAGTTTTCAAACTACTATAGCTTAAGTGAGAAAATCGTTTGTGCCAAATTTCTACTGAATTATCATTGGTGTCTGATTTTGCACCATAATAACAATCAAAGAGAATATAATAACTACGTTTAATAACAATCATTAAATATTACTTTAAATTCTACAAAATAAAGGGACCCTAGTCTATGCCCAACCATAAGCAATTTATTGGTTTGTGATAAAACTTTAACTTCCCCTTTAAGATGATCTTTAAACTATGCTTTTCCATTTTGGAAACAGATAATAATTTTTTTCTTAATTGTGGTACATAATACACATCATTTAATATAATATCAACTTTAAAATCACTTAAATAACATTTTATTGTTCCTACACCAACAGTCTCTAAATTAACGCCATTTTTGGCAGCTGAAATTTTAATTGGCTTATCCAGTTTACAATAATTAAAGAATAAACGAATGTCATTTACAAGATGAAATGAACTACCTGAGTCAACAACCCATTTAAAACTATTTTTATTCTGCTGTTCGGTGTCAGGGCTAAAGGACATAAAACTTACAAATTTGTTACCTTCAGCATTTTCAGTGCCTCTAAGAAATGACTTTCCTCTACCTCTCCCCTGGGTCTGATGACGAGTTGCTTTACTGTCGTCTCGGCTTCCGTTGTACTTCCAGACGCTACGTCCACGGCCGTGAAGTTTCCAGTAGCCAGTCCTGTGTCGTGTCTGCTGAGTGCTCCTACACTGGGATTTTTTGTGTCCGGGGCGTCCACATCCATAACACAAGAAGATTGAAGAGTCAAGGAATTTGGTCGCTCCTCTGTTCCGTTTTTCCTCTTCCCCAAGCAGTCTGTTTTTCACGAAGTCCATTTTCAATTCCTCCACAGTTTCCACAGCCGTGATAATGCCTTCATAAGATTTCGGCATGGATAGGAGTAAATAGTTAACCTTTTCTTCCTCCGAGAGCTCACTGCCAGCATCCCCGAGTTGTGCAAATAGCTTTTCCATGTCAATAAAATGTTCCATTAAAGGTTTCCGTTCGTCGAATTTCATATCGGACAACTCTCTTCTTATAAATAAATTAGATCGTGTACCTTTCTTCTTAAAGCTGTCTTCCTTGATTTTAATCATTTGATAAGCAGATCTGTCCTTTAAGTATTCGAAGTGACTGTCGGCGGTTGCCGCTATTATGATAGCCTGGGCCTTAGCTTCCAATTGCAATTGCTTGTTATCCGTAGATTTACTGAAATTCTCCTTTTCGATCGCCTCTATTCCTCCATTATCCCGCAGGATACTTTTTAATCGAAACTCCTATGCGTTGTAATTGTCCCCCGCGAAAGGGACAATTCGATATTTTTCTTTTGAAATTTTCTGTCCTTTAACACTTATTAATCCACTATAAAACTAATGGCCGTACTGGGCCCATAACCTTGTTAAGGATTATGGGGATAGTTAAAGGAAGATACGCATAGAACGTAACGTATTGTTTAGGGAAGAAACATGTTCAGAGTCCCCTGAAACGATTAGTATTGACGTGGAGTCTATCTCGGATGGACAGGTGTTAATTAACAATTGAATCATCTATAAGCGAGGTTTTGGCGGGAACTTTACCGGCGGTGGTTTGCTGCTCCTGTATTATTGTTTAAATAATGGTTTGAAGTGTACTTTGATATGTAAAAGTAGTGCGATTTTGTTTATTAAGTGTCTGCGCATGTGAACTATTAGTGCAAACTGTGAAACAAGTGCTCTGATGATGATGTGATTCTCAAAATAAGGTGTCTATCTGCTTAGGCGCCTTGAGATACCATCGCCAACCGTCAGCTGCCTGCTGGCTCAAGTTGCCGTCAAAATCTCCCAAGGGCTGCACAATGTGACGCATCAATATAATGTGAAGCAGTGTACTATGACGGATAATTATTATAATATATTGTAACTTCAGGCTCAGAAGGGCTAGATCCCAGAGCCGTAAAGCCAGTTATTAAGAAGAAGTCATCTATAAGCAGTGGCTTTCTTAGGAGAATGTTAAATCTAGTACCATATCAGTTAACCTTTTGCTTTCAGAAGAAAAATGTCAAATGCCGTTGTTAGTTGGCGAATGCCGAATATCAATAAGCCTACAACGCGACCTTGCGTCTGCGCAACTACTTGCGTTTATCTAATATTTAGCTTTACTTTTCTATGAAACCTGTTCAAAGTTGTTATTGTTTTAAAATCTAGACAAAAATTTCTATTTATTGATATAGGTACCATTTATCTAATTTGATTAGAAAATAAAGTAAGAAATCAAAATAAAAAAATGAGTTGTATAATTTTTCATAATTTTTTTACTATTAACGTCGTTAGAAGTGGGGAAAAAAGCTGTTACTAGTTACAGATAGATAATTTTCTTACAGTGTTTATTAAATAATTTACAAGATTCAATAAATATGATACATTGTAACTTGTAAAAATATGCGGTATTAACGATTATTCATAAAACCATCCAAACGCACAACGAAACGACTCTCTTTGAATATTTTTTGCAACCGACTTCAAAAAGGAGGAGGTACTCAATTTGACTGTATGTTTTTTATGTGTTGTCTGCACCTTGCCGATGCTACTGTCTTTCCAGTGAAATTAAAAGCAATGGCAATTAAATACAGTTCAATAGACTAAAGAATAAAGATTAAGGCCTTATTCAATGCTGACAATATAAAACATGCTACTAAGCTCTGTAATTGAAACCAATATTAATACATAAAACTCCTTTGCTTTTCTTTTCTTACAATACAAGAAGAATTTAATTTTCGTACTTTTAAGTTTAAACTATAACATGTATAAGTTCTTATAAACCTAATATTTGAAACAAAATGCAAAACACTACAAAAAATGCTACTCCATTGGTGTAACTTCATTCATAGCATTTGTATGTTCTCCAAAATCCATGGGTCATCCAGAGCTGCAAGCAATTTTGCTAAACTTTTATGACCTTCCGTATCAATGTTTTTGGTCATATCATGAGAAAATGGTACGTATTCATCGCAAAGTACACTCTTGCCCTGAGACACTCCATATATTTCATACCAGCCTTCCAAAGCCTCACTAAGGAGCTTTTTTAATCTTATAAGTATTTCTTGATCATCAACGGTTTTAACATAGAAGCCTTCACTAGCCGAAATTTTAGTAACTTTTCCCCAAAGTGTAACTTTCGCGCCATTTCTTTGAGGTAAGTTGCCGGCTGTAACGTATGGTACAAACTCATCGTCATCGGGGTACTGATTATCTTCAAAATCGTCATGGTCTGCCATAGCTTAAAGCAATAATTATAACAGAACAATCGGACTAAATTAGACACAAAACTTTATAAAAATTATACTTGAATAACCGCATTAAATCGAATCTCCGAATCAGTTTCATTACGTCATAACATTGAGTTCTATGTACTACGTACTAGAGAAGCCATTCCAAACAAAAATTGTGTCCTACTCTATGTCGTCGCGCATGCGCAAAGACTTTAATTTATTATAAAATAAGATATCAATATAAGAATTTAATATAAAATATCTTAATTTAATCTAAACAAACATATTTCTAAATAAAATGTAATAATAATTATTTTATGGAATTCACAAATCTTCAATTTACGCAATATTTGGTTTGTATGGATTGCACTACAGTTCAGTTGAACATAGTCAATGTTCGGAATGGCTTCTCTAGTATGTAGTAGATATAACTCAATGCGTCATAACTTTTTTCTCGGAAAACCGAATTCGATAATTCTTTTTTTATTTCAAAGCTGGTGTTTCTCATGTCCCATATAGATTTGATCAAGGTCTGACCAGTAGTTTTTGAGTTATCCTTAATAATTTATGTTGGAGTTTGTTGTACAAAATTTTTAATTTTACCACTTGTTACTTCGTTCGCATCACATTAAACTGAGGGTTTTTCATTAAAAAAAAAAAACACTAAGTGTAAGAAATTCATAGTGTAACTTTTATGCACAAAAAATATAATCGTAGGTACATATGGCGGACTTAATGCATTAAGGCATTCTCTTCCAATCAACTATTAGGCTAAGCAGAGATAAACATAAGGAAGGTAGTGCAGTATATATATATATATATATATATATATATATATACATACATATGCCATGATAAATTAGGAAAATATGTCACAATAGAATCATCATCATCATCATCATTACAGCCCTTCACAAGTCCACTGCTGAACATAGGCCTCCCCCAAGGAATGCCACAAAGCACGGTCCTGAGCCACCTGCATCCATCGACTTCCTGCATATCTTACTAAGTCATCACTCCATCTAGTGGGGGGACGCCCTACACTTCGTCCGCCAGTACAAAGCCGCCACTCGAGAACCTATTTTCCCCGTCGGTTGTCGGTTCTTCGAGCTATATGGCCGGCCCATTGCCACTTCAGCTTACTAATCCGTTGGGCTATGTCGGTCACTCTGGTTCTACTGCGGATATCCTCATTTCTAAGTTTATCACGCAGAGAAACTCCGAGCGTAGCCCTCTCCATAGCTCGCTGAGCAACATACCTCATACGGCCAGCAGTGAAAGACCACGTCTCATTTCCATAGGTCATCACTGGCAACCCGCACTGGTTGTACAGTCTCGTTTTCAAGTTTTGAGGTATACCTGACGAGAAGATGTGCCGTAATTTCCCGAACGCTGCCCAACCGAGTTGAATCCGTCGATTGACCTCTCAGTCGAAGTTGGACTTCGACAACTTCGGACTCGTCAACAACTTCGAGCTTAGTGCTCCCAACAACTACCGGCATAGGTGTGACATGGACATTAAACATGATCTTTGTTTTGTCCATGTTCATCTTAAGACCTATCCGTTGGGAAACACTATTGAGGTCATTGAGCATAGTGCTTAAGTCCTCCAGCGATTCTGCCATAAGGGCTATATCGTCGGCAAATCGAAGGTGAGTGATGTACTCGCCATTGATGTTAATACCGTATCCTTTCCAGTCCAGAAGCTTGAAAACGTTTTCCAATGCAGCGGTGAAGAGTTTCGGGGATATAACGTCACCCTGTCTTACACCTCTCTGCAATGGGATAGGTTTCGTACTCTGGTTCTGTACTCGGTTAGCCATCGTAGATCTACTGTACAAGCACTTCAGCACTTCGATATATCGACAGTCAACTTGGCATCGCTGAAGGGACTGCAGCACCGCCCAAACTTCGATGGAATCAAAGGCTTTCTCATAGTCCACATACGCCAGACATAGTGGCAAATTGTGCTCCTCGGACTTCTGTAGGATTGAGGACGGAATTAAAGAGCTTCTGAAGGACTTCAAGTACCGGTTTTCTACCCGCTTTCAGAAGCTCCGCTGTAATTCCATCTTCGCTTGGGGCCTTGCCGTTTTTAAGGTGCTGGAGAGCCATTCTAATCTCGATAATTGATGTGAAGCCAATTAACGTCTTCTCTGAAAATTTAACTGATGCCGTTATTTCAAGATATTCTCTTCTTTACGTGCTTCCTTATGATCTTTACGAGGCAGAGTTATTCCGCGCCTGTATTATGATTGTAGCACGAATGTGTCGACTCAATCGAGGAAGGACCATTGATTTCCGGTGTGAAATGGCAGTTTAACAGTACTCTGTCAGTATTAGCGTCTGTTTCGTATGGTGAGTGTAGAAAACCGAATACCCTTTTTACTAGAAAAGTGGTATTCCATCATAGTCCTCGGGGATGACAATCCTTCTGTATTTTGATTTTTAATCTAGGGTAGACGTAGACGATAGATGTTTATGGGCCACAGCATACACTTATCATCGGGTGGACTGTGTACTTGTTTGTCACCCATAATCTATAAAAATATTTACTATCACAGTATATAAGCATCTTTACTTACACATATGGATTGCTTGTATTCTAATTTAAAAAATAAAATAAAAAAGGCAGTATACTATTTGAATCAAGTACGATTTAAATTATATTCTGCTGTTGGTTACAATTATTAGTACAGTACCAACGTTTTTTTTTTATAGGATAAGGGTGACAAACGAGCACACAGTCCACCTGATGGTAAGTGGTTGCTGCGGCCCATAGACATCTACATCTATCCTCTATTACAAATCAAAATGCAGATGTGTTGTCACCCGTGAGGACTAAGATGGAATGCCTCATTTCCAGTAAAAAGGGCCTCCGGCCACCTGCACTCACCATGCGAAACGCAGAGTTAAACCTCTACTTTACGCTGGTATTCTGTGAGGTCGTGGTACCATCCCGGTTCGAGCCGGCCCATCCGTGCGACAGCAAAAGCCGTCACATGGCTCTACCATGTCCACTTCTTACGTGAATAGATTATTAGAGAAAATTTTAAAGAAATACATATATTAAGTTTGACCTCTGGTATATTTACGAAAATGTTATGTATGTAAGTACAGAGAAACAAAAATAGTTTTATTAAAAATAGTGATGTAGATTATATAAATACTATATATTTAAATGAAAATTATCTCCTTCACCAAGGCTTACATGGAAGAGATCACTGTTTAGCGATAAGGCTACCTAATTGTACATACATTTATAAATTTAAGTTTGTGGTTTTGTTTAGTATTTTGTGCGCAATAAAGAGTATAAATAAATAAAATAAATAAATACCAGGAACAAGCACAAGTTAGTTGTCAGTAACTACTTTATGGGGCAAATTTTACTAAAGTCCCAGAATTTAGAGATGACCCATACCCAGCTGACGGACTTACTTTTCAATTTAAAAGTTTACTTAAATGCTATATAACGTTCGAATAACTTTGGTCATACGTCCATTTATTCCTTTTTTGTAATTTATATGAATTCGGCTCAAAGATAAGAGTTAAATAAATAAATTATAGATTTTGTTAAGAGGCGTGTTTTAGATAAGTGCTATGGGTAATTAATTTAAACTTTATGTTTTAGAGTATTCGGTAAAGTTTACCCATTGCCTAGGCAACAAGTTGCATATGGCAATCCAGGCATAACTTACACTTATTCGGGTATCACTGTACCAGCTTTGCCTTGGCCCGCACCTGTAATCGAGTTGAGGAATTTGCTCTTCAGAATTAAAGGAGTACTTTACGACTTCGTATTAGTAAATAAGTGAGATTATTTATTTCGTTACAGAAATTTATTTATATGTTATCCTTTTATCGTTATATTCATTGTTATCATATTTCGTCGCAGATATAAAAATGGGAACGATCATATGGGCGAACACCGGGACAACGAACCGGAATTAGATCCTAACTACCCTATAGCCTCAGTATCATTGGGCCAAGAGAGACCTTTTGTGATGAAGCATAAAGATGCTAGGAAGCCAGGATTAAATAGAAAACAAATTTCGCCAGGTTAGTGCGTTTTACTTTAGATCTTCGTATTTATTAATAGTTACAGAGTCATCAATGTTTCTGAGCTTATAGAACATGTATCGTAACATTCGGGCCTCATAAGTGACGGTGTTTTTGGCTTTTATATTGGCGTCTTCTTCTTGAAATGGATTTTCGATCACAGTGCTTACACGACGTCCGTACGTTTCACATCCCTCTAAGAAATGCATACAATTCTTAATCGTATTATCTTTAACTACTATTAAGTGCTTTGCTAAGTTCTCAAGAAAAGATAAAAAGCATCGCTTCGTGTAGAACCAAGTATCGGTTCCGAGACGTTTATTAAAAGGTTCGAGTGATTTAATGACTCTTGAAATACCAAACTCGTAATTTCCCTTAGCGCAATATAGAGTGCCTATAACTAAATTCACAATACACAGATGGTAGAACTTTTTCTGTGGATCTTCGAATATCTGTTGCTCTTCTTCCTTTTCTATTTTTCGCATTATATCTTCAGCTTCTTCGTTTTGTGATGTCATTATATATGACACGCATAGATTAGCCAAAACAACTGCGCTAACATTTAAAATATTATCGTATTGCTTCTTAACAATAGGTTCGTAGAAACTGGCTGCTTCTTTGTATTTGTTCTCTTGCATGAAAAGAACATGAGCAACGTTTAGACGCCATATATCTGATTCATTGCAAAATTCCACAGATTTACGGAAGATTTTTTCGACTTGCCCATAGTTCTCCCTATCCCAATATATTTTTGCCTGCGCCATGACAACAGGTATATATCTTTCCAACGCTTCCTCGTACTCCACCACGGCTTTCTTGACTTGGTCGTTATCACCTTGAGATCGACTCTCTTGAACTACTTTGGTGAGTTTTCTCAATTGCTCCGCGTGTTTTGACGCGATATCTTCGTACTTCTGAAAAGCCTCTTCAGGTGAAGTTTGACTAGTGATAATAGCATCCAAGAAGTCATATAGATATGGTGTTAAATATTTATAAGTAAATTGAGCGTTTTCAGCTAATACGTCAGCCGCTAAATCATAATACTCAAATTTGCAATATAATAACAACAAATTGGCAAATGTTTCTGCCGGAAAGGGATCCTGTTGGAGTAGAAAGTGTAATTTTTCAAAACCATCCGTAGGTTTTATATCGATGGATGTCAGGGCTAAGTTGTGCAATGTGACAGCGTCTAATTCGTGTTCGTGTCTTGGGGGCATGTCAGAGAGGGCTTCCCTAGATGCTTCAATGTTCTTTAACTGATATTCTATTGCAGCTTTTAGGTTGAATACTTCGGTGAGGGCAGTTTCGTGAAGAGTCAGTGTGTTGCCTACCGATTTTACTTCAGAAGTTTCAGTTTGCATACCTACAGCTAATTCTGGATGATCCCGTATTCCTCTTTCTATTACTAGCGTAATATGTTTCAACGCTTGAGGATACTCTTTCAATTTAAAATAACATAATGCTACATTGTAATGTAAATGCGCGTTAAATCCCAATATATTTAGACTTCTTGTAAATTTTCTTAGTGCTTCTTCGTACTGGTTTTCTTTATATAATAGACAACCAAGATTTATATCTTTGTCAGGATCATCTTGAGAGTAGGAGTCTACGAGGCCTCTAGCTGTTATTGCGTCGTCTTCACCATATTTTATAGCTGATTGTAATTTAATAACTTTCCTCTCAAGTTCAGGAGCCGTTATTTGCATGGTTACTTTATAAGCCTCATCGTACATAGAGGCTTCGTATAAAGACTGTGCGAAGTAAAATTTGTACTCAGGTATATCTGGGTGCATAGCTGAGAGTTGCTCGTAGCAGTTGGCTGCATCCACGAAGGATTGGATCCTGTAATAGCAATAACCGAGCAAGGAAAGTCCGGCCCGATTGGGATTGTAATTGATGGCGTCGTTTAGAGTTTTTATGGCGTCTTCATACCTCGCTTCCTTTATCTGAAAAACGAAATATTATTGATACTTAATGAGGGAATATTAACTTAAATGTATGTAGAGATAATGTGATGAGCAACATAATGCACGTGTTTAAAATATAATGACAAATCTACTTCAATCAAACACTTATTCGCAATGAAATAATTTTAACCTATTATTATCAAGTCCTTTACTAATATCCTACTTGATGGTAAGATTCGATGTAAATGAATGTGGTAAAGTGCTCTGGTTTAGCTCAATAAAAACCTTGCTCTGCTTGCTTACGCTTGCTTTGATGAGACCCAGATTTTAATCGATTGGAGGGATAGACGCTAGATAACCATTCTCCACCTTTGCTGTACGTAATATAAGAACTAAGAAACAAGCCATTTTGTTTCGAATGTGTGGTATGTTGATAACAAAGGGTGTGCAGACCCACTGAGTGCTTGGTTATCCAAATTTATAATGAAGGAACTAAGGCATGTAATTTCTACGCAAACTGCAAAATATTATATCTATTGCTCGGTTGGATTTCTAGATGCCAGTTAGTCACTCCCACAGATAACAATATATAAACGTCCAAGTCTCTTCTTAGCTCTAAGATGGTTCGTTGTGACAAGACCGTCGCGCTACTCTTATAGTGGCCGGCGGACTCCACGGGTTCCTAAATATGTTTTATTTCTGATATAATATGCCTGTGCCTCGTCTTTTTCAGAATGTTTTATCTTCACCCTGATAAAATTTCATATAAAATAATTATATTATTATGAAATTACAGGGCATAGATGTGTCTCTAAAAGATAGAAATAAATATTAAGAAAATAAAGTGTATACAAACACGCACACGCACACACACACACACACACACACACACACACACACACACACACACACACACACACACACACACACACACACACACACACACACACGCACACGCACGCACACACACACACACACACACACACACACACACACACACACACACACACACACACACACACACACGCTCACACACAATCGCGCACGCACTATCGCGCGCACACACTCGCGCATGCGCTCACACACGCATACACACACACACACACACAAACACAAAAATTGTGCGTCTAATCGTGTACACACGTACGAAGTGAAACTTCTTTACGACATATCATTCTTCTTTTATTTTATGTTTTACATCATCATCATCATCATTACAGGCCTTCACAAGTCCACTGCTGAACATAGGCCTCCCCCAAGGAATGCCACAAAGCACGGTCCTGAGCCACCTGCATCCATCAACTTCCTGCATATCTTACCAGGTCGTCACTCCATCTAGTGGGGGGACGCCCTACACTTCGCCTGCCGGTACGAGGCTGCCACTCGAGAACCTTTTTTCCCCATCGGTTGTCGGTTCTTCGAGCTATATGGCCGGCCCATTGCCACTTCAACTTACTAATCCGTTGGGCTATGTCGGTCATTCTGGTTCTACTGCGGATATCCTTATTTCTAAGTTTATCACGCAGAGAAACTCCGAGCTAGCCCTCTCCATAGCTCGCTGAGCGATCTAGAGCTTCCTCATCCGGCCAGCAGTGAAGTACCACGTCTCAGTTCCATATGTCATCACTGGCAACACGCACTGTTTGTATAGTCTCGTTTTCAAGTTTTGAGGTATACATATATTTTACATAAGTAGGTTAAATAATAGTATACTCATACAACCCCGGCGGTGAATCGTTACAAGAAAACTTAACGTTATTTTAAATACCGTACTAAATTCTCCACTACGTCGATTAAGTAGTTTCACTTCAATTATAGTTGAAACAAAGGAATTTATATTTTAATTTAATTGTAAACTTCTTACATATTGTTAACTTAGAAGAGATTAATTATATAAAGTGGACCGTGAAAGGACATGGCGCATGCACAACGCAAGTGATCCCATCCATTGTAAGATATCTCATACGATATACAATTAGCGTAACGATAACTTACACACGCACGGTTTCAATGTCAATTAACTATTATTACACTATCGATTGGTTGTATATTGTATATTTGTTTTGAAATGTAGTACCTAAATGGTTTTATCTTAAAACACGTTAATAGTAGTGATAACGGTTCAGACATTCTCTTGATTTTAAGTGATAAAGTCGGAGATAGTCTTGGAAGAGATTATTTAAAGTCTACCAAACTGAACATGGGCCTCATTCATTGGGGTAGGGTTTGCCATCTACAGCTATATTAGTAGTATAGTTGTAGCACGAATGGGCCGGCTAGACCGGGGAAGGACCACGCTCTCATAGAATACCAGCGCAAAATAGCAGTTTGACACTGCTCTGTTTCGTATGCTGAGTGTAGAGAACCGGAGACCCTTTTTACTGGAAAAGAGGCATTTCAGCGTAGCGTAGCAGTACAATCTTTCTAATAAAAACTGCGGTTAGCAACTCCCTTGGCAAGCGTGGTAAATAATATGCCCAAATCCCTCATGCATATGAGATAATTAATGCGGGAGGTCAATGTTCAACAGTGAAATTTCGATAGGCTGTAATTTGCCAAATGTAATGAATCAATCATTTTTTCTTTCTTTCTTTATTCTTTGCTGTACACATTATTGTTTGTCGAGCCGACCCATTCGTGCTACAACTGTACTATTAATAGTTGCAGCATGGCTCTACCACGTACAAAATTTATTATGTCTTTCCAAAATAGTGTCCATTTTCATCAATACATCGCTGCATCCCTTGGAAAGACTGAGAAAAACACTTTGCCCACTCGTCCTTAGGGGTCTCTTCGATGGCATTTTGAAACGCAGCCACTGCTTCCTCGGCGTCCATAAAACGTTTTCCTCGAAGTTTTTCTTTTATTTTTGGAAATAAATAAAAATCGCAAAGTGCGAGGTCGGGGCTATAGGGCTGGTGACACAGTAATTCCACGTCAGATCTCGCCCAGTATTCGATTGTTTGCTTAGCGGTGTGCGACGAGGCGTTGTCGTGGTGAAGGAGGATCCTACTGCGAGGTCGTTTCTCCTGAACTTTTTCCAAGACAAATGGCAAACAATTGTTAGTGTAACACTCTGCAGGAACTGTTTTT